AAATTATTTTAAGCTAGAAATTCATAAAAAATTTTTACTTTAAATCTAAGATTTGAAAATTTTKAATAATCTATAATATATCCTAGACGGCTAGACAGATAAACCGTCTCCGCTCAGAATCGTTTTTCGTATACAATGATATAATATCATTGGATTCAAATTTAATTCCATCGGCCCATTACAGTAACCCACTTGTAACCTACTGTACAGCAGAGCGACATCCACTTTCCCGCTGTTTTTATCTTATAGATACTATTCAGGACTGAAATAAATGTGTGTGACCATAATATGCACACCGCGGGAATTAAAGTGCCGCAAAATTACAAAAGCCTCTGCCATTGTTATAAAGTTATATGATATTTAATTTTATGCATGATCATCAGGTAAGGAAAAGCTATGATTGATCATTTAAATTTTCTGAACCAATTAAATTGTTCGATTTATTATCAATGTTGGTAAGAAACATCAATAGTTATATCATGTTTCTAAGTACTTTCGTTACACCTAATACTTTTCAAAATGTTTGAACATGAAATATTATAACTGGGTATATTGCAGGTATGCGTGGATGAAATAGAATTTACCCGATTGATAAATGTTTTCAATATTTTTTCATCAAGCTAAATTAATTCAATGATTAACAAATGATATCTGATGATAGATCTAAAATTATATAGAATTTGGATGATGGTAAACAATATTATTACCTATTTGAACGGAGGAGAATTTTTTTGATTCGACTTTAGGGCCTCAGCGTGGCGTACCTTTGAGGAGTAAGTTTCACAGGACGGCTCTTAAACGCAAGAGGACTAGGGTATATGGGAGTCTTTTACCACTAACTCCCTCCCACCTAAATTTAACCGCAGCATACACCGATGTATATATGCAGTAGTGTGTAAACCTATATAATACATAGGTACATGTCGAGGGCGTAATATACTTATGTGAAATAGTTTTTTTTTATCATGTTTACGCATAGGTATAATACAAGGCAATTTATTCTTTGGGATTTTTCGGGCCACTAACCTCAGTGTTAAACATATTATCAGACCCTTTTGCCGTGAAATTTTAATGGATTTCCGCCCGCGGCATGGCTGTACCCACCTCGTGTGATATATCGGAGGTTGGGTTGTCGTCGTGTGAGTATATACCTCATATACGCCGACTAAGTTTATATAATATTATATTATTTACGCGTTTCGTTAAATTCATTGCGAATGGCGACGAAAAACCCACATACGCATATTATGTTATGCCAGCCGCACTATTCAAACGTCAATTTTGATATGCGAACATAATAATATAATATCGTACACGCATAATGTATCGATCACAATCATACCGCATACCGCCGTTATACATGCGCGTATTACACAACTATACTAMAATATTAATATACAAGTGAATTTATACAGGTATACCTAACCTGRTATACACAGGTACACACAATCCGATTTATATAAATGGTATCGTGTCTACCATCAATATTCTGCTGCGTTCTGACGACGACATGAAACCCGATCGATGAGGCCGTTCTATTAGTAAAAACATTCTAGAGTGTTATTAATTTATTTCGTTCGATTAAATGACAACTGCAGTCAATACTATTTTATTACACATCGTTGTACATTACATTAATTGTATTTTATACACTAATGACTAAACTATATTGTTTGAAGTACATATAAAAAAATATTTCATTCATAACATTTTAATCGTACCTAAACTGAATTATTATACGGAAATTATTTTATAGATACATAATATATTTAGATATATTTCAATAATTAACAAAATTTTAATAGATATACTTGTTTACTTACTTTTTTTTTTTTTTTTTAATTAAAAATAAAGTATATTTACAATCTATACATGTAAGTGTATAATGAGTAAGTGTGGTGACAGAGTAATAAGTAATATGTGAAAAAAAAAAGAAAAAAGTAACAAGAGGAGGAAGGCTCCCAGCAGTGCCACCTGACCAGAAATTAGGGTTTGAGTTTATTTTTTTTTTTGTTTACTTACTTATACATAGKTATAAGTTTATATTTTTGATTTAGAAACTTAACATAATATGCACTAATTATTCGGGTTTGAGCATAAGTGACATTCAAAGTACCTAACTTATTTAACTAATTTGTATATGTATACTTGGAATGCACATAAAAATTATTTGTTAAAATATATTTTTGTTTGACCATTAAATATTTTGTATTATGGTGATTATGGTTGTTTGTATTGTACTTATTGAAAAATGTTGATTCTTAATAGAAAATACTATACCTATGTTTTGTTGTAGTGTCTCGTTAAATATAAACAAAATTGTGATTGATTAACATAAACTTCCTTAATATTTGAACCATTATAGCCTTCCATATCTTGCAAGTCTATATTATTATTATAYTAATGAAGAATACTTCTTTATATGCTAAGTCAGTTGAAAATATCTCTCCATGAAACTCCTTAAATAGTAAAGAAAATCTAAATAGGTATACCTTAAAAATTCCAAATTCATTATTAAATGAAAAAGGAAGGCGAGTATGTTTTTTTTTTTTTTATTGAACGTTACAGCTTCGGCAGCATAGGCCATTAGCTTTGAGTTTTATACAATTATATACTTATAAATATTTACATAGAATAGGAAGAAAAAAAACAGTTTATACAATATTAGTGACTTATTACTATTAATTATTATATGCTTTTTTCTAWATTTAATGCCTTGAGGAAAGATATGATGGTTTCTGGTAGGCAGTCGGGACCGATAATTTCGTACAGGTTGGAAGGTATGTTATGCTTTTTACGTTCTTCCTCGTTGGATCTGCACTCGGTCAGCAAGTGTTTAACAGTGAGGGTCGTTCCGCACGAGGGGCATTCTGTTGGTGTTTGGTTGTTCATAAGGTGACCATGAGTGAGGAGGGTGTGACCGATTCTTAGTCGGGTTATTATTATTTCTGTTTTCCTGGTTGTTTTTGTTTGTGGCCAGGGATTTATATTTTGTTTTATTTCTCGTAGTTTGTTTTTTTGGTTTACCCAGTGGTTTTGCCATATGTTCCGTGTTAAAAAATTTATATGATTTTCGAGTATGTTTGATGAGTCACCTTGTATGCCTATAATAATATATATATATATAATTATAAATATTAAAATAATACACAATACACAATACACTCCCTACAAAGCAATATTATTTTGAAATAAGGAATTATTTTATATTTCACATTATTCCCAAGATTATATTATGTGTTGCGCATCTATCAATATTTTGATACCTGTTGGGAATACAATAAATAATGTAGATTTTGTTTGCTTTAAATATTTTTTTGGAAACTTTATGTTATATTATTATGTATATGCTATAAGTAAGAATTCATATTGTTTTTTCTTGCTCTTCTAAGTTGTGGATAAATATGTTGAATATTTTTTAATTATTATATTTTATTTTTATTCCTATATCTATTTATATACTTTTTGGACGTTGTCCTCTGAATAAATAATAATAATAAAATGCTCATCGTCCGGTATGAAATACGACGAAGAAAAGAAAACCATGATTATTTCAAATGGTACATCTTATAGAGATAACTGGACAAATTTGTTAGTCAAAACAATTATCATGATATATATTASTTTATACACATAAATTATCATAATATAATAATGATTACAAACATGGTGAGACATATAATTTGATATAATAACATAGTGAATAAAATTATACACATATAAATGTACAGTATATATATATATGTGTGTATTATATATATATATATATATATATATATAGGTGTTAACGGGTGTCCATAACAATAATAACAATAATTATTATGTTGTAAAAAAAATTAGCAAAAGACTGTTGAGTATCAAATTGGACGTTGGACGACCGTAAAATCATAACAAMATAATGAAGCTATAGGTACCTGTAAAGTCATCCATATGAAAAAAACAGCAGTAGTAGCGGCTTCAGCTTAAATCTTCAATGGGTAGCGCACGGCGCGCGGYGGCTCGAGTGTGCTCTATCCCAACGAATGAGAGCGTGACGGCGCGTGATATACCTACTGATGCAGTGGCCATCGTAATTACGAACGAGTAAATATAGTAGGTAAACGAGTAGGTACCTACCTATATACACTCTTTTTATGTTTTCTATGCATTCATATCGAACCCGACTARCTTACAGGTGTACTGCAACAATAATATATGAATCGCGTAGTAATCCGTACAACACACTCGTGTATTTTATTTAGATTTATTTATGAATAAGCCATTATACATAAAAACAACTTTGGACGCATCGGATGATAGTGCGCGCTTGATTTTCGTCGCAGTCCGRATCATGGAAATACGCGTATCATATACCGCCGCCGTGGTGTTCACCTGTTGCTGTAGTTGGCTGACCAGGTAGGAACCTACCTATAAATAATAATATACGCGATATCATAATATTTATTTTGTATAGTGTATACATAAACATAAAGTAAGTACCCTTATACGTTATTTGTCACGTTCGTTTGGTGAAATCGATAATTTTGCTCATTCTGCAGACGAGCACTTCGTAGAAAATGTACGATAGACAGTGGGGCACTGGGGCTACATAATAATAATATGGTCATCTTAAGATAATATCGCCCGGAAAATGGAYGGGTGATGAATAATGTAGGCCGTTAATATTACAATCTTTGTATACGTTTAATAAGTTTTAATACTTCACTCGTTATTTTTTTTTATAGCTGGCTTAAAAACCCAAAATAATTATATTCACTTCGCAGTTTATTTTTAAAACCGGGTTAGTGAAAAGAAAAAATTATGATATACACGATATACCCGATACACTTTTTAAATTCTGTACTTATTTAATGTATTAATAMATATTTAACACACGTTTAAGTTTTTTAATCCTCAACTCAAAAACATCTGAATCAAACACGATCTTGAGTATTTGATAACACACAAAGTGGCATTAATTAGGTGATATATTATATATTGGAGATGATTAAATCTTCTTTAAATTTTAAATAAAACCGTAAAAAACTCTGGTATAACTAGTGAGGAAGCTAATAATTGACCGGTATAGTTAAATAAGTCTCTGCGGAGAGTCAAGTTCCTTGAAAATTTAAATCTATACCTACATACCAAAAAATAAAATGTGTTTGTTGAAAAAAAATGTTAATTAATGTATGTAACTTACAATCCTTTTTAAGAAAATTAAATTTTAATTGTCATAAAATTATCATTATATTAGACATTATAATTCATATTGCTTATAGTTGAGTATAGGTACGTTACCTATATTTATTTATTATATAACTCAACAATAAATAAACAGATTATAAAAAAAAACTAATATATTATATGAACATATAACTAACCTACCCATTGTCATTTTGTTATTGAAAATTTATTACAATTTTTTTTTTAAGCTAAGCAAAATAATAAACTTTAGATACCTACCAACTTTGTTTCATTGAAAAAAAAAACGATTCATACCGAAAAGTAAAATAATCTGTTCCGAATAAGATTGTTAAGTAAAAAATGACCTGTTGTAAGTTTACATTACGTCGCTGTAATAATAGTGATTAGTGACTATCGTTAAGTTAGTTAGATAGTGAGCACACGTCAAAAGTGACTGTGACTATTATATCGAGGTACAAGTTATACGGAAAATAAACTTCTAAACTATATATAATATATTATGGTTAATTTTGGTACACGATGTATGATATGATTACGTATTATTATACGAAATAACATCTTATATCATCATAATATTAAACAACAATTATAATTTGTATTGTGTCTCAGCAAACATGTGCGAATTTAATTTAATTTTAAGCAAACCTTCTACGTTTGTCCAAATGTCATGCTCATGTGTATAATATATTTTAGGTAAAATTACATTATAATTTACTATACTAMATAGTACTATACTATACTACACACTTATCTGAACAAGAGTCCAATATAATTTTTTTTCAGTAAACGGAGAAAACTCATTTGTCGAAAGCTAAATTTTAAATATTTTGATTACATGTATTTCTTTTGTTAATGTATGTTTTTGTCACCTCAAGATGAGCCAAATTTATACTTTGGATACAGTATTATGCGTATTTTTTAAATAGTGGAATCGGGTTTTTTTTATAAGAGTCTCACTCTCACAATAATATATTTTGTATAATTTATTTTTGTGTGATAATATTATAATGCTATTGTTTGATGTGTGATCGTTTGCAGCATACGAGGCCACGCGATCGACTTTAAAGCCGTGCCCATGACCCTGTTGAACGCTACCAATTTCATTATGCGGCACCAAAAGTATTTGCTGCAAGACGACGAACGCGCGACTGACGCCGCCGAACGAGCATCCGGTAACGAAGGTAGGTAACTACCGCTGAACGCCAAGCGCGTTTTTATACGTAATATACAGGGTGATTCAACAAGCATGATCCACCTCCAAGATAAGTTATTTGTATCACTACACTCGACACTGTTTTAGTAGTACAAAAAAAATCTCAAAACTTTGAACATATTGTCTAAAATACCTATTTTTAATAATTCAAAAAATAAAATGTTGAATAACTGCATTATTTGAAAATAAAAAGGGATTGGACATATTCGGCGAATCTCTCTGTATATATTTTATAATATATTATATTGTACAGGGCATCGTTTTATTGTAGGCCATCGAGTGGATAGCTGATAGGGGTTGAGGTTTATTCGGTACAATGCATCATGTATAACACGTGTATTGTGTAATATTTATGTCAATACCACAATACGCATTAACGCGTGAGTCTGTTCGTATATAATAATATGATTACCTACCTGCATATCAATCTCGCCTTTTATTTACTACCAATTGCAAATTCTATATAAATCTAGGGAAAAAATTCTATAGAAAAATTAACACCTCCCCCACAAAAAAATACATATATAATTGAAAATATTGTCGTAAAAATATTATCTATATTATATAATTTATTTCAGATAACTATTTTGTTTAAATATATTATATATATGACTACATAAATAAGATATTTTAAATATTTTTATCTGGATAAAGTATAACACTAAAATATGCTATCTATGCGGATAACTTGCTATTGTGTACAGTATTAATTTATTGAAACCGACTTACCACTTAACATATAAAAACGAGCTCGTCAAAGTGGTTAGATTAATATAAASCACTCAGGAAAATGTAAAATGATTAACTGGAATCCGAATTAATGAACAATGTCCGATACATAGTAAACGATGCCCAGTTTGCCCACGCATTAATATAATAATATCATTGTTCATTGTTGTACGTTAAATTTTATCAGCTCATRTGTTCCGTAATCGAATTGAAATAATAATTTAACGGCGGATCGAATGTGATAATATATTTTGTTATCCACGTGTTTTACTTTGATATAACCACCTTTTATATATTATATGCCCGTTTTCAGTCTACATTTTTTCCATTGATGAATGATATTACGACGTGTTTCAATAATATTTCAAACGACGACAATTCGATGTCAGTACTGCAGACTGACGGCAGCGGCGCAGCGTAAACGATAATATAATACATCATTATTATGTA